GAGACCCGTTACACCCCATAAGGTGGTTTGATATCAATTGTTCAAGTACAATATCGCGATATTCTCAGTCTTATCGTTACCTAAGCTTTACAGACAACCATGCCTCTTTCCAACATCACTCGACAAATCAACGATATGTTCATCAGCCATTATTTTTCTACTTTGTGGGCCTACAAGTATTCCTCCTTTTCAACCTTTTATTCTTGCTTCACTAATTCTCTCGCATAACCAAGTTTTTGACCAGACCTAATTTAATGTGCAGCGGAGGCAAGTAGATATTTTTGATGTCAACATTTCAGGAGTGATAACATTTCTATGACTTTGCAGTAGTTCAATCTGAGCAGGCCATTTTTTCCTGCCTCTGCTGTCCCACTCACATAGAAGGCAGCAGTGCTTTGTGTACCAGAGTTGCATGCCGAGCAGAATTGCTATTACCTTGAGACCTCCTATATTTCATTTATACGAGTATTTATCATATTTGATAAGTCTGCGAAGCCGTTTTAAGTTCTCATACTTCCCCTCCAGGATGCTACAATCAGAACAGAAGGAAATTTGTTGCTATTGCGGAGAAGTACTGCTTTCGGACTTTTGTTTGATTCACATTCAGTTACACTGAAATCATGGCCAAGAGTTTCCATACAGGGTTTGGTGTTATTACAGAAAAGTATGTCACCTTTCTTGGAGAAATATTTTAAAAAACTACATGGCAATCACGAAAAACACTTTTATGCAGACGGAAAGAAGATTCCAATCTTTTAGTCGCGAAGCTGAAAGCTCAGACTATTGCTTCGACAAACAAGATCGTTGAGATCCGCTTGGGACAAAAAATGTGGTTCATTTGAGTCACAGGAGGCTTAAAATGTCGGGTTAGCATGGATATCACCACAGTGTAAGATATATTTCTCACACTGTGATATCATCTCTATCTTCTGAATGTTCGTCATTCACGTCACCCCTTCTCAGGAGGTTGTGGTACCGGCAATTATTCACTGTGACCTTCTAGCAGATGGTTAATTAGGATATTGCAGTTTTCTTCGTTTTTGATGCGATTCCAGCTAGTTTTGTTGGACAGAAATAGCAGTCTGTTGTGTGATCCGTTGGTTTCCTCCAAATCATGTAAACAACCAAGGGTATGTATCGTGTCGTGAAAATTTTAACTAGCAACGTTGCCAAACCTTTTTCATTTCCTAGACGTGAATTTTCTGAACTCCGTGTGATGTTTTGCAATTTCTTGAACACATTTTGATTGTTCCTGAACAATCGAACAAAATGAAGTTACAGCAAAGGAACCATTATGCAGGTTTTTCAAGCTTTCCCATAGTGGCGTGTCACAAGAAAACAGTTCGATAGGCAAAAACCGATTTCATGTTCATATTCACTGACAAAGACATGGCTAAGAACACCATTCTCATTCTTCGTGGCAAAAATGCTGTTGACCAATGGTATCAGCGATGAGACGTGACATTGTTACCTAGCCCTCGCAAGATCCTGGCATACCTTTATGAAACTACTGGGACACGGGGTATTTGAAATATTTTACATAAGACATTCTGGCTTTTAAACGCTCAAACAACGCTATTTTTCTGGCATTAATTTTCTACATTTCTTTCAATAAAAGTCTTGTCAAGCAACACCTATGCCTAAATGACAGTTGAAATTGCTTAAGAATACTTCAGTTCGTTGTTCCTGTGACCAAGAACGTGAAGATTTAAAGTTTAAGGTGGAGATAAAACTAGAATTAATTCTAGATCCATATTATAAGAAATATTCTGACTTCACTTTTTTGCTCATACATACGTAAGAAGAGAAAGTATTATAATCGTGCGCCGGAAATCGGCGAATTTTCGACACAAACGTGTCCTGGTAAAGAAAAGGATAAATCTTGTTCATATATACAGCGAAGACAGATTTTAAGTTCCAAGATTGGGAGTTTTAAAATGCAAAAATTAGTGATGCATTAAGTTTTTAAATTACAGTGAAATGTGAATAGGATGATTTCCTCCTCTAGTCCAGTACAACAAAACATTCAGATCTTGTTACATATACAATATTTCATATACTTTCTCAGAAACATGTTTAAATCTGTTTTAACGGCGAGTGGTAATATAGTTCCACAATCAGTAAATCTTAATTTCAATACTCTTAACGACGTTAAACAATATTTTTGAGGTAGTTTCAATTGTCATTACTATGCACATTTACTTTTGTTGTAACTTCTACAGTTCCTCCTCGTTTATGCGATGTAATCGCAATTGTTCAGCTACTTCAAATTTATTTTCTTATGTGTCTTTCACTTCCAAAATTAAACAGATATTTGTCAATGCAATTTATCCCTCAGTGAGTAGTGACACGCAGCCACCAAACGAAAATGTACAATTTAATCCTTTAAAGCCGGAATTAATTATTATAGCAAAATTGTTTTATTTCAAGTTTAATACTTTCATATAGATACTTTCATACTTTCATTTAGATGATGAAATTGATATTTATTGTTTTATGTCTTCATTCACAAGTTATGGCCTGGTACATAAATATACCGTTAGGCTCTTACACTGCCATATTGTGAAACACTCAAAATAATGTTCCAATATAACACGAGGGGATAATATTTTCTGCCGCCGCTCACACTACCTCATCTAGCCCTCCTCATCTGGACACTCGTGTCCACTCCTCCACCAGCGTCCTCAATAAAACGCTCGCCCCGCCTCAATCTCGTGCTCTGACTCCACCTCCCTGTACGCCATCGCCTTCTACCTTGCTTTCGCCCCGCCCTTGCCTCCATCCCTTCCTGTGCACTTGCCGCCGTCCCTGCCTCCGCCCGCGCTTCCACACACGGTTCTGCCTGTACCTTGCCATCATCCCTGTCCTCGCCTCCGCCCCGACCCATGCCACGCGGTCGCTTCGGCCCCCGTCCCCGCCATCGACCCCAACGCCCCTGCCCTCGGTTCCGAAGTAACTTCCGCAACTCCCCTCCAGTCCCGTCCGCACCTCCCCCGTTCCCTCCCAGTCCTCGCTGAAAATCCGCTTCGCATAACCCCTGTCCACACCTCCATCTCCGTTCACGCATTCGCCTCCACCCCCTCCATCCGCGTCCTCGCCACCATCACCACTCTTACCTCCGCTTACACTTTCACACTCGTCTTTATCATCACCTACTTCAAGCAAATTCATTGGTTTACAGTTTACTAAAAAAAAAAAAAAAAGTTTCAAAGGTAGTGGAAACGCTTAGTGGTACAATATTGTACCACAGAATTTGTCGACCAAATAAATCAACAAAATATTTTTTAAACCCTAATAATTTGATCATAATTAGTTACTTATATAATATTGAAGTTATCTTGGTATGTATTAGATGTCAATTATAATTACTGATGAAAAAAAAGCACTTTTCTTCAACATAGCTATAGAGATCTCATCATAAAGTGATGTTTCTAGATTGCAGGAAAGCAAAATAAAAGGGAAAAAAAATCACATACACCAAGAACATATAAAGCAAAATTAGTAAGACTTAATGGTTCAGAAATGTACCGCTAGGCTTTAAAGGGGTCAGCAATGGTGCTCTCCTTCTTGGGAAAGGCATCATAAATACAATTCACACTTTAATCACATAAAATACTTGTAAAGTGCAGTGACTCAAGTGAGTGACTCGTGTCGAGGCTCTGGTCTTAAGGCTTAACATAAAACATACTGAGTTTGTTCAACGCATTTCCAAAGTAATTCGGAGTCTGCGACCTTTGGGAGTCATATGAAACATTGTCTACACTCCCCAAAAATTATTAGAAATTAAACAATTATAAAAATTTGGTTCTACAATGGAAGACAACATTACATGGCTCCAAATATCTCTTCTCATCTTTCACTATTTCTACTAGCCTCATCCAATTCATTCCCATTGTTCTACTGCACTTCAATCACCATAAGGCTGGCCAAATGTCTTAAGAAAACTAAGGCTGAAAACAGATTGTAACAAATGAAGTATGTGTAGCGCGTAATTTCCTGTAAGTAAACTTCACCCAAAAAGCTGAAATATGTAATACTGTTCTTACTTTCGTAAATTGCTGAAAATGACCAATGATCAATATAATTGATAATTTGTTTTATTATTAACAAACTGCACATCCCATTAAGGGCAAGAGCCTCCTGCTTGTTTAGGGAATTATTAATCCTCCTTTAAGTGATAAGATGATGAAGGACGAAGGAACAGTCACAAATACATCCATGCCCGAGGCGGGATTCGAATCCATGATTGCCACAATGCTACTGCCTTAGTGATCTCAGCTATCCGGATTGCCATTGACATTACACAAGTGCTATGTGCATTATGAGTAAATAAACATTTTTGCACAAATTTGTAAAATGCATCTCTACTTTACAAACCATTTTTCAACCATACCGATTCTTGAAGCCTAGATATTTTCTACACAACTTTGTTAACTAGCAAATCTTTAAATGATATCATGCGCTTTTTAAATATCTGAGTAATTCTGACAAATATCACTCAAAGAAGGAAACGTTCTGATAAGCATGTATTCCCAGAAATGAAGTTATATTAGCCATGCATCTCAAGACTTTTGATATTGGTGTGCCCTCCCATAGTCAAGTTGCTGTCTGTAGTTAGTTTCTGTGTTCTCTTTTCTTGGAAGCCAAATTGGATCGTCTTTGCTTCACCTTTTCATTAATGGAGGGAGTCATCATAGTAAAATTCTTTCAAACATTTTACTAAGGACTGATAGTAGGATGTAGGGTTACTAGATCTCTAGTTTCTTGAGGAGCTGTCTGGTAAACGGTGGAGTCTAACTTTAACTCTCTTCCAGATACAGGGGCAATTACCATTGTGTAGAGTGTCTTTATATAGTTTTCACAAAGTTAAGAGTTTTTAGTTAGTTGTTTAAGACCGTGGAGGCCTCTTGCTTTGGTTTTTTCTAGTACTTTTAGTTCGTTACTTATTTCTTTGTTATTATTGAAGTTTCTTGGAGGTGGCAAGGAAGGTTGGATGTACAGAGAAAGTAGAGATTTTATTCTATTGAAGCAAACATTTTCTTTTTTTTAATTTGGAACTATTCTTCAGAAAATTTTAAAAATATTTCAGGATATTCATATGAAGAACCCTCAATTCAAAAAGTAGTTCCCATTTCACGTGTGGTTGGCACATTCTTACTTACTCGACTGTTGAACAAAACTATTTAGAATAAAATGAGTATATTTCATTTCATGAACTTTATTAGCAGGTCAATATCATTTTCACCTCTTATTTTCATGGAAGATATTATAAACCATAAATTAATATAAGATAAATAAGAGCAACTTAACCATTTCTCTCAGAAATTCAAAGAACTTTCTCAATTACAATCTGAAATAATGCAAATACTTAGCATCACATTGAATCTCTCTTATCTAATATCGAGAGGTGTTTCAACGCTCTGTAGACTGTGTAGTTGAATCCCTACATAATCTTATTCAGGCACTGCGTCCCTTGAATTGTCGTTTCAAGTACATTAGCTGTACTTCACTTTCTAACTGGGCCAAGTCTTTCACAGCAGGAGCCATTTGAGCCACATGATTTTCATACTGAGAACCTGCAACATATGATTTGTAACATAAAAATGTTAAGTTCTCTTAAGGTTATTGTAGTAATAAAATGATGAAGCATAACTAATGCTAATATAGTTTTATTAATTGATAAAAGTGATTATAAAGGGAACAAACATGCTTTCTTTCATCACCAAACAACTTTTATTGGCATCAAGAATTTGAACTACTTCTATTAGAACTTTGAACTGATTTCATTATTTCTAAATCAAGAATCTATTATACCTAACTAATCTTGTGTAACAGAGGAGAAATATTCTGCTTACCCATCTGTTGCCGTTTCTGTCCATACACCACTTTACCATCAAATTCATCCATAGGAACTTTCAAATCTGGCTCTACTTGCTGAATGGTGACATTTAAATGATCTTCAATTTCAGCCAGAAACTACAAAGATTTTAAATGAAAGTAAACATAATTATCACTGATAGTGTACAAATTAAATGACAAACTTTGAATGCTAGATAAATAATCATTTTATTAACAAACATGCAATTTCAATTGACAAAATCACAGTCAATCTTAAAAAAATGTGAAAACAAAGGAGACATTACTTACTCTTGGTTCATTGTACCAAATGCAACAACCACCCTCATCAGTAAGGCGAGTATTCCAGCAGTTACGTCCACGAGAAGAACACCATTCACCATGATACCATACCTTCTCAGGCACTGAAGAGACTAAAGAAATAGCAAGGCCCATGCGTTCAGCTCGACCGACTCGACCAATACGATGCACATAATTAGACTTTTCATCTGGCAGAGTCACATTAATCACTGGAAATAAAATATTCATTAAGAAAAAGTTGCACCAAACTATAAGAGATACTGCTTACACAAAAACTTAATTAAATTATTTCTCTTTGACAAAATATTTCATTATTTTTGTACAGAAATTGAAAACAGTAAAAACAGCACACAAGAGCACAAACTGGAAAATAAAAAGTCTTCAGAAGACACATTCCTAACTGTAAGATTAATGTTAATACACCTTTTCCAAACGGATAAAAGAAACCTATAAGCTGGGCTAACACATTACTGCCCAATGTGACAACATGGTGAAAACTTGTGACATTTTTTTCAATTAATTATTACAAAAATTGTACATTTAGTGCAGTTGCTTTAGATTGCGAGAAGATTGTGCAAAGATTCCAGTTTATTTTCCTTTGCAAGTATTTTTTTTTTTTTTCAATGAATAATTATTTCGGAAGTGATTAATTGTTTTATATGTGTAACTGAAACTGGTTTGAAAAATTAGCATAAATCAAATGTGTCACTGTGTCCATACGGACATGCCAAGCCCTAACGGTGGTACACCTCACTAACAGTGTTTTTATATTTTTTATTATCTAATGATGAGACTGTACAGCTTTAGTCAATTTTGTAGATAAAAGATATTCAAATCAAGTAGAATGTGCCCATGTTATATTCCTGAAGATTTTGGTAAGGAATGGAATAATGAAGACCTAGCTCAAAATTTAAGTCTTCTTCTACTTCCTCATTCTGCTGATATAAGATTTTCTTTAAATGTATGTAACTCTATTATTTTCATCTCAAAGCAAGTAAATGTAGTTGAAAAAAAAACAACAGATTTTATTACTTTCCTAAAGCCATTTCCCGAACAAAAGAATTGTTTGAACATTTGAAATGACTGGTTGAAAAACCAATCAGTATGCAATTCATAAATTCATCAAAAAATATTTATACTTAAAATATGAGGAAATTATATGGCGGGTGCAAGGGTAAAAAGGGACTGATCAATTTTTTGTCCAGAACAAGTATGCTAGAACATTGCTTTACTACAATACTATCATTGTGTATAGGGGGATAAGTGACATTTCAATTTTGCCATTAATCTTTATTGACAAAATTGACGTGTCACTTATTCCCATATACACAATGATTGTATCATAGTTAAGCAATGTTCTGGCAAACTCAATCTGGACAAAAACTTGACTTACCCACTATTACAAGTGCACCCAACATGTATGCCACATGTACAATTAATAATGCACACCAATGCAATGAGAAGAAATTAATTTGAAGAGTATTTAATTGGTCGCCATTCTGCGACCTAAACGTTGGCACCTTTGCCATGGACACAGCGTCACCAGCCAGCCAATTAAATACCGACTCTGGCTGCGAAAGCCTACGCTCTCACTCATTTGAAGAGATTTTGAAGTTGTTCAACTTGAACAAAAAGTTAGAATCCTTCTAAAGGTGCTGGACGATGAAGCAAAGCCCTACCTAGTGCTGGTAAGTGCATCGACAGCTTATGACAATTTTGTCAGGAACAGTAGCATGAAACTAAGGTTTCAGAGGGGGTTAACTACAAGGAAAAATAAACTACTGCTTACAAGGCAGAGGTAATGATTTTGTGTTGAAAGTGCCTAGAGTAATGAGCATATAAAGTTGTAAAAAAATAATTTGTCATTAGAAGTGCTATTAATCATTCAGGTTTGTTTTGTTTAACTTTCTCGCTACTGCTTACGCAGAGAAAGTTATGTAATTCAGTAGGAAAAAATGTCGAATTTTCGGCAGAAAAACTCATATTGCCAGGTCCTGGAACTGAAAAAGTGGATAATCCAGTTGCTAAATATAGAAAAAATTCCTCCAACCTGTGTAGCCAGAATTCCCACTTGGTGAGTCCTTTATAGAGAAAAATCTATTAATGGCAAAACGTCTGCTTGTTTGTCTGTTAACAAAGCTAGCAGCTAAACCATTTAGCTGATTTTCTCCAAAATTGATAATCCCCAATTGATCTGGCTGATGTTGCAGTTCCTTGAATTTGAAATTGATATTTTAATTTTGGAGGTACTTTATAAAAGTTGGGACATTTCAAATTTACACCTCAGGAATATTTTCGAAGTTTTCAAAAGAATTGCACCAAATTTTTTAATTAAATTTTGTTGAAGGATAGGATAACAGATGATCAACAGAAATGTGCAGGTCTCATGTTTATTAAAAATCACGATTTTTCAAAAACGATAAAATTCGTGTTTACATTGGCAAATATGTATGCAAACGAAATTTTAACCATTTCAATATTATTCACGTGAAAATGGACTAGTAAAACGCAATTGTTTGAACTGATACACTATTAACTACTTCATAATTATCATTTTTGAATAAAGGATATGGTGATAAGAACAAGAAATTTTATGACTTATGATTAGGATTAATTAAAAAATAATTAAAGAAGAATCACAGTTACTTTTCAAATTAAAAAAATATTTTAATGTCAACATGAATCACTAAAAAAAAAAAAACATTCTGCCAACTACATATTGTACCAATACACAGACTAATTATAAAATTGTCTTCTGAGGACCAGAATCTGATTAAGGAGGATTAAGGAATTTACCACATCCCTTGATAAATACAACACAACATCAATTTAAAGTCCACAGTCCCATATTCACTGCAATTTCTGCAAATACACTCTTCTTGATCTCCCCTTATTCATCACTGAATTTACTCTCTTCTACTTGCAAATTGACCTTGGTTCATTCCTCAAATCTTGGGTCATCTCCCCTAATAAAATCCTTTGAAATATCCATAGTTTTATGAAATAAAAAACAGGATAAATAATTACGTAATTGGTGAAACGAGGATTAATTATACCCCATGTGCCAAAAAAATTAAATTAGTTTCTGCACAGCTTCAATAAAGTGACCACTGCCGGGTTGGCAGAACAACTGACTTCCTGAAAGGTACTTAGAAGCATAAGCTATTTCGCACATCTGCTTTGTGCAGGTTCGATATCTTTCAAAAACTGGGGTACTAACAGCCACCACAACACCAGTTATAGGTATACATCGCCAAATTTTGAGTGCATGGTGAAATGCATATTTTTAACTTTTTTAGTGCATGACATTCCGTAGTCTAGTTATATTATCAGACGTATTAATTTCAATTGTGAAATTCAAAAACATAAAATGTGCTTTCATCAACTTCTTGAGAGAGAATTTTAAGGAACAAGAATTCTTTTATGAATAACTTTTTACCAAATATTGTAGTTGTGTAATACATACACATACTTACTGAAAGGCAAACCAGTGATATCCAGACCACGAGCTGCTACATCAGTGCAAATAAGGAATTTCACTTCTTGCTTTTTGAAGCGCTCCAAATTAGCTTTTCGTTCCTGTGGTTTGCGATCACCATGGAGACAAACACAAGAATACTGATTGCCTCGAGAATGAGCACCTCCTCCTAAAAAGAACAAGTGGAAAACGTTACATACAAAGTAAGTAATCATTTTCGCGGATGTAAAGAAATCTGTACTATAACATTCTTTTAACAAATTACACTTTGTACATTATCAATAAAAGTTACCAAATATAGTACTTACCAAGTTTAGGACCACCTACAATTAAGATTTAATATACATGTATTATTTCAGTAGAGAAACATTCAATGGGTTATTGAAGTAGTTTTTAACACAATACTTGTTTTGGGATTAGTTTATTTTTTAAATACATGAAGCAGCTTAGCTTGTATCTGCTGTCGACAGTTCAATTAATACTTTTGGTTATGATTAATACTCGTTGAATTTGATTTTCTTGTATGATGTGGAAATTTCATGGGACAAGTATATTCAGAATTATAGTCAATCTAGTATACACAAAAAAGGGAATCTTTCACATTAGTTTTAATAAAATCGTAAAAGATGTAATGTACATCACTTATCAAAACTTTTATGATTTAATTTATTAAAATCATAAAAGATTAATTTTTCACGATTTTAATAAATGTAATGTGAATAGTATTTATTTATTTATTTATTTACCTTTTTTTTTTTTCCTTTCTTTCCACAGATCCACACTTTATTGTCTAATTCTGAAAACTTTTATGAAATTTCCAAGTTTTCTCTTTCAAGTTACATGGAGGGAAACAAATGTTGGTGCAACAATTCTTAATTACGTAACATAATACTTGTATTATTTAGAACTGGTTTGAAGAACCTTCAAACCAATTCTTAAAAAAACATTAAGAAAGGCAGTCTTATTCTGACTGAATAATTTTAAAAATTTCTTTCAAACATAACACTTGTAATTAAGAATTAATTATTTTCAGTTCAAGATGAATGAATCATCTTGTTTTACCCAAATATATTTTTAAATTACTGTAATGAAAAGAAATTTTCAGAAAATCTCATTGTTAAAAGAGCTATTACCTTTCATGAAAATTTCTTGACGAACCTGATAATTTTAAAAATATACTTACCAACTTGATTGAGGTAACGCTCTAAGTTATCACAGTCCAACTTTGTGCGGCAGAAAATGATTGCACGATCCATCTTGTGCTCATTAATTGCTTTAACACAATATTCTCCTTTAAGCATTTTCACAGCTTCTGACAAAGTCTCTGTGGCACAGAAGAAAAGATGGTCAACAAGCCATTGTAAAATTATAAAGCCATGCACAAAATATCTTATTTACCTGAATACAAGACAAACAATCTCATTTGACTGATATCAGGTTGTCTTACACAGATTACAAGCTAAATTGGTTGGATCAATATTTTTACATTTCCTTTCCATGTCAAGAAACACTAATGCTGATGTAATAATAAGCTAAAAAGGTGATAAAAATACTGTGTATCTGTAATGCTCGATTATATTTGTAGACTGATTCTTGGATCGATCATCTGTGGACTTGCAAGGGGATTCAGACCAATATTTTTGAATGGGTCAGAAAGATGATTTTCAAAAAATATATATTTAGCAAAACATTTCCAAACGTTGGAAACTTCTCTGCTGTTTCTCCTGTGCTACCCACAGAGTGAAGGTATGGAGATACAGGATCATTGTTTACAAGGCCAGTAACAAGAGTGCAATGGACCCGTGACTGAAGGGAATGTTTTCAAGTGGTGTAAGTAAAGACAAACGCAAATTCATTGCACCAAACATTCATGAGAACCTGAAAAATGTGAATGACACACTAAGGGAAGAGGGCCAAAAAGAGAAACAAATTACGATACACGTGATGATGATAATAGTGACAAACACTATTACGATGATGATCGAACAAAATCTATTAGAACAAATTCTAATAGATGAGCCAAAAGAATAAACATTCTCATGAACTGGACAATTTTCCAATCAATATTACAATTTGCAAATTTATTTTGACTAGAGAGTAAGAATTAGCCAAAGATGATAAAGTTCTGAGGTCTTTTCAAAAGTAGGGGTTTGTGTTATAGTCAGAGTAGCCTTATATTAAATAGTATTATTTGGCGTATTCAGAATTTATTCCAAACTATATCAGTAAACACCAAACACTTAGAAATAAAAAAGAATAAATACCAGCAGTGTTGTTCCCTGGGCGAACATTGTCCTTGGCATGCACTCCATCAGTCTGCACATGGCGGCGGAGACTATGCCAGCTGGAGTCCTTCTGGGGATCCACCATCACTACCACATGGTGCACAGTCTCTGGCACTGCATCTTCACCTTTCAAATCCACCCATGTTGGAAAGTGCATTAATCGCTCCTGCATAACATTAATTTTGTAAATAACAACATATTCACAGATCCAAGACAAAATATTGAGAAAAATATATCCTATAAATATTTGGAACAAATACACATTGAATGCCACATACAATTTTTTAAAATGAATGTTTAAAAATATGAATTGTACAGCCTCACATGAATATGTAAGTACATTTGTGTAATTACATCACACTTATTCAACATTACCTGAAACCCTTCTGTTTCTAAAAAGGACTAAGAAGTTACTTACCGCCATCTTCTTTACTTCAAATGCATGCAATGTTGCTGAACAAACAATCATTTGGAGTCGTCTGCCATCACTAGTGATTTTAGGAATCTGACGATGAAGCCTATCTATCATGTCTCCATATCCTTGTTTCAACAAGCCATCTGCTTCATCCAGAACAAAGAAGCGACACTGGGTTAGGGACAGGTGTCCACCAGATATGAGATCTTCTAAGCGACCTGGTGTGCCAACTACAATATCTACCTACAAGAGCAAAGACAATAGAGAATATTAAACTGAATGAAACATTATTTTATCATTCACTCTTCATTCAAAGATATTCACATAATTTTTTCTTATGAGAAACAGTACTTTCTAGCATATTCAAGATATAAGATCTTACGGCAACAAATTTTACTTATATCTTGAATAGATCAATCGCTTAACATACAGATTCTTTCATACATAAGCATATACAGTGTTTCATTCACCGAAACAAAGCACATGCAACAATCCATTGCAAGTTATATTAATTAATATATACATGTACCAGCTGAATCAGTTTTCTTTGTGATTACCCAATTTCTCTAATAAATGTTTTGATCTAAAATAAAAATTTGACAACTCCTCATAAACTCTTCAAACAACAAACAAAATTTTGTTACTTAAATTCAATTTAAGTGATGATTTTATTTTCAAATTTTTTAAATAAAACATATTTACAGGTTAAAAACTGATGTTCTTTCCAATACTTTGTTGAAAAATTTTAATTCAAAATTTGAAAAAAATATTTTTGGAAAAATATTTTTAAAAATTTTAAAATGTTTTTTCTAAGGTTGTTGGATTTCTGAATAATTCTATACAAATAAAACATTTATTTTAAATGTCTAAAACTTAATGAATTTAATAAGATTAGTGGTGGTTTTAATAAAAAAAAAGTGACTAATATCACGACATTTGGAAGTAAGAAGAGGTAGTACCTAGTAAAAATAATATTTTGATTTTAGTTTCTGACACCAGATTTGAAGTAAAAATGTTCAAATTGAAAATGGATGCAATGACAATACTAGGAAAGGACAGAGGCATTATTACTAGAGCTTTTAGGCACTCACAATGAGAGATGTGACACTGATTTAAAAGAATCTACCAAAGTAGGTCACACTCCTGTATTGGAACCTATCGTCTTAGTGTCATTTCAAATATTTTTCTTTTTGATGATAGTGATAAAGGCCTGAACTATGCCACTGCGGAGATAAACAGTGCAATTCTCATGTAAATTGGGGAACCCACAATCAACGGTGGGAAATTGAATTGTCTAGAAAGTGCTGAATTTCAATACATGCACAATTAAACACCTCTATAACACTAATCCACTCAGCTCAATCCTATCTTTACACCATTTCACACAGAATCCACCATGATGAAAGAAATATTGGTCACAAAACCATAATTAAATATCTATAAAGTTTAATACATAGTTTGAAACCATTATTAAAACAAATTATACAAATTAACTTGTGTTCAATTTGCATAATTCTGACTCAATAAATTGTTTCTTTTAAGTCTCTAATTATTTTTATTATTAATCCACCTTCTTAGATCTAACATGATAGAATATTACTCATGTGCACATACATATTGGTTCCTATCAGCAGCTTTGTACCTATAAGTATGCTAATAACCCAAGAGGTTAAAGCGATCTAAAATGAACATTATCAATCCATTTGCACAAACACAGTTGTAGAGAAATTTCTTGAGGAAGGTTTTAAAAAGTATCTGCAAATTTAACTATACATTTTTTGTTTCTTCGATATCCTTTTCAACAATTCTATTCAAAATTAATAAGTCTTTATTAACATTTCTGTAAATATCCTTATTGCATTTTCCTTAACATGAATTGTCAAAATACCCTTATTTACATCTGCATGTATTAATTCACATAAGTAGTCCATCACCACACACTAAAACAATTTAAATCAAGCAAAAACATTTGAAGGAGGAATGCCACTTCACAATATTTATGTAGACTTTATTAATTATTGTAATCACTCGCACAGGAGGAAAGTAAACATTAGTTTCATTTTTTCTAATGGAAGCAACTAGATTTAGGTTCAATAAAACCATATTGAAGAGTCGACAATAGCATAAATAAGTTATACTAACCCCTGAATTAAGTTCAGAAATCTGATCTTTTACATTAACACCTCCAATCACCAGTAAATCTTTCACTTTTGGATTCTCCATATATTTCTTGAATTTTAGGATTTGGTTATATGTTTGTTCAGCAAGTTCTCTTGATGGCTGAAACAAAAGAGAAAAAATAACATTTCAACACCTTCAATAAAAGATTAATTAAATTATTGACGAAGATTTACTTCAGAGAAGATTCAAAATTGAATGTACAATATTTAGCTGAATACAAGGTTAGTATATTTTCTAGTTTCTGTTTTCAATAAAATGCTTTTATATTTGCACAAGAAGCAAAATTTCTATAATAGTACATTTTGAGGTTCTGCACAACACTCAACAGCTGAATCCCCAAAAATGTCATAGAATGCCCTGAAAGATCTTTTTGTTGATTGGTGTCAGAAACGTAACTCAAGGACCTCATCCTCCAAAGTCAGGCTTTAAGGACGTACTGTTTGAGTTATGCATATTCAGCATGATATGCCCGGGATAGGAAACACATGCTATGTATTGAATTTGCTCTAGCCCTATTCACATGCGTTGTGTCAACAAACCCTTAATTTTTATAAATTGATAGAACTATTCATCTCTTCACCACAAAATTCTTTCCCGGACATCTAATTTGATAAGAATAATAGGGATGTGAGAGCTACAAAAGAGATTTGAACTATAGAAATAATTGAGATAATGAAAAAGAAGAAAAAAGAAACAAAACAACTGACATTCTGAATGGATATTTAGTTAATATTGAATATTTAAATAATAATAATGTTTAAATAATATATGTAATAAATAGACATGCTGTTTTTTAAATATCATTTGTCAGGAACTAATATACTGTTTTAAAAGCAAGAACTGTCTTATGGAAGGATAAATAAGGAATTTTGTATTAAAAGCAGAACAAAAGGAGGCACATTGTTTTGTAACATTGGAAAGGATGCAGAAGAAATTTGAATTCTTTCCACTTTCAAAAAGTTGTGTATTAGTGCAAATGAGAAAAAAGAAATGAATATGTACAACCTAAAAAACTGAAAATTAATATTAACATATATATGTAATCCAGAAACTTATATTTAATAATATCCATCATTAAATCAATAAATTAAGCCCATCATAACAACAACCTGTATTAAAAAAATGCATTTTCCATTTGATAAGAAATGGAGTATTTACTGTAAATTTTATGTCTGTCCAGCTAAATTGTTTCAAAAGGGACTAAGATTTTAATGCTAATGCCCTTACAATAATTCTAAATGAGAAACCACCTCAATGATGATAGCTTGAGGAGCATTCTTCATGGCTTTTGCTGGAGCTGCAGTGCCGCTGCTACCTATTTCATTCTGCCGAACATTTTCTTTGGGGGCTTCACACACAGCCAACCATTCCTTCTCAGGTGGGTGCTTGAACGGCTGCACTCCGAAATTGAAAGACATCTCTGCATTCTGAAAAATCATATTCCCTCAATTCGGTACTTTAACAAACATCTGTAGAGGCAAAATAATATGTTGAAGAAATTAATTTCAATTGATCACCTATTTTAACTGTTGCTGAGTTGAAAAGAATAAAAATGTGGTCTCAAAAGAACATTTGCTTAGAAAAATGTACATAAATAAATAAAATAATTCTAAAAACGTACAATAAATATTGAAAAGAGTTGTGTAGTAAATGGTAATTAAACATACTTAAGAGAAGTCCCCAAGATGCTTACTTCATCTTTGATGTTTTTAGTTTTTTTTTATACTTTTCAACTTAAATTTGCCTTGTGCCCAATTTATGACAGAAAAATTGCTTTCAACCAATTTTTTTAAATTCATATTTAGAAATTGGAAAACATCGGTAACATGTTGGCTTTATTAGCTCCTTAAAGAATTTACATTTCTTGAATTTTTGTCTTAATTTTGACTTATTTCTCAGTTCAGGTGAGCGATATCTTAGAATATAATTTTACTACAACCTTTTTTTCTCTTATTTTGATCTTACAACTTAAAAAAAAAAAAAAAAAAAGGAATTTCTAATGTATTAATCCCCCTCCTCTCCATTATACCTCAGTTCACAAAGTAACCAGTATATGGAAAACAAGTTTACCTTCAGTACAACAGATGGGAAGAATGCAGAATTTTTCAGCTGCTGGGGAACAGAAAAGGCTTTCCCCAAGTGAGTTCCATTTTTTGAAAAGCTAATTTCGCAATTATCCAGGTCCAAAAAGCACCCAATGACATCATGCATGCCAAATGCCTCACCATAGCTGTCAAACTGTTTATTATTTGACTTTTTTCCTGTGCCACCAAATCCAAAACCAAATCTATCTGTTCCAACATCCAGGTTGGCCTGCAAATAAAGTAGGACTTTAATGTTATTAAACAGAGTTTTATATTACAATTTAATTTCCATTAAATGTAAAACAAAAACGTTAATTTGAAACAAACAAGAACATAACTCCCAGCAATATCTCAAAGCTTAATTCTTTTATTCTTAAAATTGAATTTAACATTAAACATTGACTTTAATTTGAAATAAAAAATAATGCTCATTTTAAAGAAATTAAAATTTTTTTCCTTATCAAAATGGGTCATCCTGAGAAGCAACAATTACTATTTTAGGTCAAATTTTAATTATTATACGGTTATAGGTGATGTTTATCTTATTTCTAAAAATACAGTTTCACAAGAAAGAAATAATTATATCACAGTATCTAATGTGAAGAAAAACATTCTCATACTGTAACTTATAGAAAAAAAATCATCCACAAATTACTCATTATTATTGCTAACATTACATAAATATTAATATCTTAACATTTACATAAATATAAACATTCATATTAGTAAAAATATTTCAAATATGGACTAAAAATTGAGAAAATAATACAGGTTTCAACTGAATAAATAGAATAATAAAATAGCCCAGTTTTAATATTACCAATGGAATAAGATTTAGTAATTTCTTGTATTAAATACAGATGTCATTTTTGTGTTGTCATAAAGATCTTTAATCCTTGTCTGACAAATCAATATTTACCAAGCATTGTTAACACCATTTAAAAATTCTCAAATTTAAAGGAACATCTTTTGTCTCTTAATTAATATAAGATTGCTTTGTACTAGCTAAAACTCTACTCAACTATACTCTGAAGTACTAGAGACCATATTGAACCGCCCAGTAGCTTTTGGAATTCAATCTAAATCTACTTCTAACCACTTAAAATTGCAGTATGTATTACAAATACAATGTTTTAATATGCTACAATATGCGATTTTTTTTCAAATACATATTATATCAGAAAATATGGATTATCAAAACTGTTTTAAAGCAGATATTAAAAAAGTTATCAAATATATTTCCAAAAGCCTAATTTGTAAATATATGATAAAAGTTTGATTGTAACTAATGAAGTAACAAATATGTGATTACACAAAAATCCTGGACCTGGTAATTATAAATTCAGGCAATGGTAAATATTTCTGTAATATATTTCACACATCTTGCAATTCAAAAATCTTTCTAAAACTTTCTAACACAGGGATGAGTAAAGGTTGAGTCTCACTTGTCCCTATAGAGGGGTGAAAAAAACCAACAAAGATGATCTACTCATGACAGAGTATTAAATGTGCAAGGGCATCTGCACTACACGACAGCAGACCATGACACCTATATTTTCTTTTCTTTTTTAAGGTTGAAGTTGTGAATTTATCTGAAGAAGGGGACAGAAATTCCTCTGAAAGGTCATGTTAAATAATTAATGATATAAAATCATTTAAAAGAAGGTAATTGTCACAAATACTTTTTGGACCTTACCACATGTTAAGTACTAATGCAATATAAAATATCCAAGAACTCGAATAATGACAAACACACTATTAAGTGCAATATTTAGAGTTCTTACAAAAAAATATTTTAAGATGCTATTCAAAAATTCAAAGTCCTAAGATTTAAATAAAAATTAAGGTAATAATTGAAAGTAACATCTTAAATTCTAAAATGGTTAAAATTTATCTGACCTGGTTTGTAGACCAACCAACACGGCATAGGCCTTCATCAGTTACTGTGGCTTCATAATAGTATCGGCCCTTACCACTCACACCTTTGGTACATCGACACCCATGCCATTCTTTCTGCTCTCGTGACTGGCAACGAAGCCCATCAGGGGTGACAGCAAGAGCAGAGCCTCTGTCAAAGAAACTTAAGGTCCAATGAGGGGCTATGTGAAAAAACAAAACAATTAAAATAATACTAGTAAATCAATAGCAAACAGCATGCTTGAAACAGATGCATACTAACATGTCTGTGCAATGACTTTGCTCCCTTTTCCAGCTTCTAAATCTTTTAATGTTTCCCAAACAATTTGAATGATTGGTAGACAGAAAGCGCCTGTCTTACCACTACCAGTCTCAGCTGCCATAAGAACATCACCACCTCCTAAGATGAGAGGGATAGCTTCTGCTTGGACATCCATAGGCAACCTATAAATCAGTTTCATGCCATCAACATGAGAAATTTAAGTATGTTTATTAGATTTATGGAAAATGTCCTTACATCCAATCCATTTCTTCCACCGCTTTGCCGATTTCCGGCAAAACGCCCATTTCTGAAATATTTACAAATGAATTAGGAAGAATGTTTGACAAACAATACGAATATCTGATAAAACAAATTTAAGAAATGTTTGGAGGAAAATATTACCTTCAAATGCTGTCATTTTACTGAACTTATATTATCGTGTCAGAAATCGTAAAATATGAGATAATCCCTTATGAAGGATTGAATCAGAACATCAAATACTACAGTTTACCAGTCTGCTGAAACCTGCTACGTCTAATATATACTCAGCATAGAGCAATAATTCAAATATTACACGTATTACACCAACATTACACCACCGGCAACTTAACCTCTATCAACATTCTTCCACGTTCTACTGTCAGTTAATTCCACTCTCTTCTCAAGAGATATCCAAGCGCTGCAGAAAATCAGCGACCCTGGTGATGTAAATTGAAAGTGTAATGTCGGCGGGAAACTTGAATCTTCATGCAAGTTGAAAGAAAATTAAACCAACATTTTGAGTTTACTATGTTAAGCAATCACTGTAAGTATTATACCACTGAATTGAGATTGCGCATAGGAACAAAAAGCCACTCTTTAGCAGCTGGTGTCCGTTAGGAAGTTCAATTCGCCGTCCGTTAAGAACAATCGAAACATGAGTTGTATCTAAAAATGGTGTGAGTTCTCGACTTGAAACCAAGAAGATTTCCGATGTGACGTTTCCTTATAAGAAAATTGTATAATGAAAGTTTTGAATGACACACAGACAATGATTAGTTATCACTTATATATCGGCTAATGCGTTGGGTTACAAACTTTCACGGAACTCATTTGTTCAGACGCTGCAAGTCGTGCAAGCAGTGCAAACGTGCAGACGCTCGGGACCATGCATATCAAGAAGCCCGATGATGGAACTGATGGGAAAAAATATTAAAAATTGAAAATGAAATTAATTAAAACTCTAAAAAGTTATCGTAATTTTATGAGACGCGTACCGTAGTGTGATATTTTACAAAATTTTCAATTAAGTTTTTACCTTAAATAGTTAATTATAGTAATTACATATAAGCAGGGCTTGGATTCTAATGACATGTCATCTTTTCATTGATGCATTATATACATTGTTAACTTGCAAGTCTATGTTTATCACGATGTATAGGTAATAGAAGTGTATAGTTATTGGGTCATTTTTGTCATATTTTGCTATTCTTCAATTTTTCAGTCATATTTGGGATCTTCGTCATTTTTGTCATTTTTACACATTTTGTATCCTTTTCGTGTTTTTTGTTAGTGAATGTTTCATGAATTTACAATGACAGACTAAAACCAAGTTTCTATTGAATTATTGGTTCATGACGAAATTCACGACTGCAATGGACTTTGTTTTACGAACTCTCAAAATTACTTCGATCTTCGGTAATTTCCTCGCCCTTTCGAAACTGACGATTGGAAGATCGGAGCGAAGGACTATATTTCTTCCTAAGATAAAGACTTTATATTAAGCATAATTTTACATGAATAAATTTTATTTTAAATTTATAAAATAACATTATGATACAAATTTTTTAGTAAAAAGAACGTAATTTCCCCCTTATTTTTAAATCATTTTATAGGTCATTTCCCTTTTATTTTAAGTAATTTTCAAAGCCTTTTTAGGCCATCAGAATCCGAACTCTGTATAATGTACGGCTCTATGAAACGAATGAAATGACGCGAACATTAAAATAGTTTCTACCGAAATTCATATATATTATTTCATGAATTTAACAAGTGAGTTTATAATACCTAACTAAACACAACACATTTTTTAGCGTTTTAAGCGCACAGTGAAAATTGTATCTACTATTTGACCACTAAATACTTTCACTTAACACAATTATTTAAAATATATTTCAAAAAACATTTTCTAGCCTAAACGTAAATTTTGTTATTTGTTGAAATAAATCACCGCACCTTGACGTTTAAACGGATATTTTAATTTTTAGGGATACTTTACATAAACTCTCAAAAGAATTTTCAAAATGTTTGAGAAAAAGGAGACCTCCAAAAGTAGTTTGAGCTTGTACTCACCAAATTTTGTGATTTTTCTTCAAATGAAAGATTGTGGGTCCAAGATGTTTCGTCGCTTACAATTATTAACCCGAGCAGGCCGCCAGGTGTAAAAGAAAAAAGTATGAGATTTCTCAAAAATTATCCCCATTCTCTTACCCTATCCTTAATAACAAAATTTAAGTGTTCAATCTTTAATTACAAATGATGCGAATATTTCCAAAACGTTGGGGAAACCGATCAAAGGGCTGTAAACGTTTCTTAAAGCTTGCAAAATTTCCGACTAAATGTTTTTTAGTTCATTCTGATAGTGCTGTTACGCATTGAAATGATTGCTGATCAAAATTGTCACTGGAATTTTACTGGGAGTAAGCAACAATACATGTTCGCTGCAGTCCGTAGTAACAATGTTGTTAGGAATGGTAATCGTAGCGACACGACAGAGTAGGGTGGATGGGGCCAGGAGAAACAGGACAGGTCAAGGACGACTGGAAAGAGTCGGGTGAGTTTGTGCAGTGCGGCGCAGGGCAGGGCAAGGCAGACATTTTGGACATATAATGATAAAATTCATTCATTGTCTTATCTAATACAAGAGTGTGCTAAATAAATACCCGCTTAATGCGGAGTACTTCAGCTAGAACATCAATATGGCAAATGTTTTCATTATATATCTTGTTTTTTGGTATGCGACCGTACATATTTTTAATGCCCTCTCTTGATCTTGAGTAGCATTGGATATTTTTACGTTGTTACACAGCCCAACTTCCGCAAAGTGTTGAGGGTCTGGCAATGCGCCCCACATGAACAAAACCAGAAAGCTCTTGCTTCGCATTGCGACTACTAGAATTCCTCCCACGTTGTCAGTAAACTTTTTCAACGAGAGAATACGTTTCACTGAATTAATTTGGGGTTTACTAAAATTCTACTCGAAGGGCTAGCAGCTTAAATTTAAAAAAAATCTGGTTGCAGTTTGACGGTATAGTAATTATTTTCTCATGTTCAGATTTACATTTTTACACAAACATTGTTCATTATTGCTGGTATTCCAAAAGTTAACAATGTTGATGTGATACAGTGATAATGATAACGATGATAATGAAAATAGTGCGATGTTGAATTTTGATTGCGGGTGCGCCAACGGCTAAGGTCATTATTCCCGTAAGTGTTGTGCATATTTTTTTCCTCGGGAGGTGGCGGTGATCTCCGCAGGATGGTGAGATCCGGCGTCCATCTTCCGTCTGCTAATGAGGTTTTCCCCAACTAGCCGTCTCCCAACAATGGGGCACCGCCCAGCCGGGATAAGCTGTAAGCACTCAACCGATCTCCCGGCATGTGTGGTAGTGTAGTGCATGTAAATGTAAGTGCGTGTAAATGAGGGGTGAGAACAGAGTTGGGTAAAATACTTGAAAAAAAGTATTTCAGACACAAAATACAAAAATACTTCATCGAAAGTAATTTAGATAGCAAAGACAAAATTCATCCATAAAAACTTTTTAGTTACAAATACAAAATAATATTTTAAAATGCTAATAGTGATTCAGTTTCACAATTTATTTCTAAAAACTTCGTTATGGTTTATAATTGTGTACAATTGGCCACTTTTCCCTTCAACGCTACTAGTTTTTCAAATACTGTATCACTAATGTTTCTTTAACATCGAATTTTGCAACAAAATACAATTTTTTTGATCGTTTCGTTTTTTCCCGCATATTGAAGAAAACAACATTTTTTCGGTATCTGTGGATCCCAAAACGTGTATTTCCATTGAAATCTCGAAATTAATTTTCCGCAGCATTATATAACTTTCCCCTGTACTACGTATATTACTTTGTATATACCTACGTATACGGGCAAGTAAAAACAGTGCAATTGACGTTAAAAATAAAATTTTCAATAAAGATTTTATTCAGTATTATCGCGAGATTTCTTGGAATACTTCCTTAAAAACACTATTGACAACTCTTCCTTAAAAATATTTGAAGTAATTATTCAATATTCTTTGACAGTTTTCGCTTTTCTTGATAGTCACAAAAATATGAAAAAAACTTTGTACTCTTGAGAAAGCTGACTGAACACGCTGACTTGAAAGTTTCACCGAATCACTGCTGATAACGAAAATACTGGTACAAGTAAAACACAAACCAAACCTAACAAGACTCGTCTTCACTTTTCATTGTACACTCACATCTCTCCATAATTATGAATACAGCAAATGTAGACCTAGACAAAACGTTCAATGAATATTTTCACTACACGCATATGAAACAATCTTCATCGGTATTAAACCCCTATTAATAATACTTCTAGTTGTTGCTGTGGGAGCGAATCTTGAGTTAATAATTATGAAAATAAACCTCGTCAGTCAGCTATTTACCGATCCGTTTATCGCCTCTGTACAAGTAAAAAATAACATACTAAACATATTTGCAGAAGTATAAAAAATAATATAAGCCATCTCAACATTGAACATGTGACCTTGTGACCATATGATGTGTAGCTGCCTCTGATAATACATAATAATTTGAAAGTAGGACAGGTATAGGAAAGTAGGTGGATGATCCAGAATCTCCCATTGCCAGTGACGTAAGATTTCTTCACGTGGGGTCGTCTTGTAAGGGGCTATTCTTCATAGCATCTCTGCCTAACCTGAACGCTTTAACCCATCGTGCGACTGTGAGTATGGCTATATTGCATCACCCTTCGCACAGTCCCTGAAAACATTCTTGCTTCGTGCCACTTCAATTTTTAACCAACAACCTTATTCTGCCTTTGTAAACATAACATTAGGGCGTTGCTATCACAACGATTTACACACTACAGTAGACTGGCAGAATACTGTTCCTTCTCGCTGAACACACTCGTCTAACAGCCTTTCCTTTTGCCACGAAAGATGACAGCATGCCGACTCACCGGCTTTTAGTTGCAGCAATATTATCTTTACTATGTAATAAGGAAGTATATATTTATGATTTATCCAATATTGATGTGTATTTATACAGACGTGCTTCTTCGTTTACAGTATTATTTTTGTCTGCATCGTGTCGTTTACCAAACTTTTGTTAAAAGACCACCATTATAGAGATATTGATAATGAACTATTTAAGCTACACCGAACGCTAAGTAAATAGCATATAAAGGCGATCGGATAGGATGCAATATCTTTATTATCAGAGTACAAATGTTAAAAAAATATTACAAAGTATGCAATATTAAAATATTGCATGAATACTACACAAACTCAACTTCCATTGATTCAATGAGACTGTTGTCGACGAAGCGTAACAAAACGACCCATTTCGATATTCAAAAATAATTATTTTAGCTGTGCATTAAAACTCGCAGGATTCGATTAACTTGGTAATGACTGAAATTAAACATGGGTTT